ATGTCAGTGTTTAATCATACCTGCAAAGTCTCTTTGCCATGTGAAGCAACAGATTCAGGCATTCCAATGATCTTGAGCATGAACCTCTTTGGGGGAGAAGTATTTCTTTATGTTTGTTTATGTGCTTATTTAATTAGAAAGAGTGTGCAGGCCACAGTGAGTACACAGAAGCTCAGGGATTGGTGATGTCCTTCCACCATGTAGATTCCCTGGGATAGAATTCAGTTAATCAATCTTGGTAGTGCACAGAGCTGTCTCACCAGCTCCCTATGTGGGAAGATTATTAGATTACTACAACTATCTATCTAAAAACTTGATAATCATTAAGTACTATGTGGAGTGGGAAGGCTGATGTGTTCAGATTAACCTGAAGTATACACACGTGCTGTGTCTATAAGCATAAAGAGAGGTTCAGGAACTTATATCAAGGTACCAACAATTAATTAAGTCAACCAAAATAGGATAGGGAATGAGATACAGAACAAAAGAAGACGGATATTTTTAGATATGCCTCATTTTATTTTTTACAAGTGACTATCTTATTATTTGTAAGATAAAAGGGTATTAATTTTTGAATTTTAATGAAGGTTAAACTATTTGAAGATTATGATTTGAACGTTTTCTAGATTATGAAATGAATATATTATTAAAAACATACTGATTTATCAGATGTAGAAATTACATATTACACCTATATGATGAGATTATAGGTGTATTTAATTTTCTTGCTTTGACTTGCTAGCATTTTTAACGTTTTTATGTCATATGTAAGTAATATATATATGTACACACATATATAAAATAGTATTAATAGGAAAATATTTTAAACTAAAAAGTAGCAAAAAGGCTGGCATGGTGGCTCACACCATTAACGTCATTTCTTAGGAGGCGTAAGCAGGGATACTTCTGTGTGTCCAGGTCAGCCACAGTCAGTGAGTTTCAGATCAGCCAAGTCTACACAGTGAGACCCTGTGCCTCCCTCCAAAAAAAAAAAAAAATTACATAGCAACTAAAAATGGTAATGCCCCCACAAAGAAAACTATCAGGGAATGAAAATTCTACAAAGAAGAAATACAAAGTGCTAACAGAAAGTTGCTAATTACATAGGATTCTTTTTATTAAATTTCCAAGTGTTGCTTAAATATTAAAATCAACATTAGAAAGCTAATTAACTCGATTGAAAACATAACTCTGTCCCTTCCTAAAGAACAGTAAAAGAATGAGAAGGATAGAAGCCCATAAATCTGTAGAAATGTGACTCCCCAGAAATCAGCTGGCTGAAAGTGGCCTGAGCCTGAACGCCAAGCTGCCCTTGGCTCTCTGTCTCCATCTAGTGGTGGAGACGGGAGCTGTGCCTTCAGAAAGGTGGGAAAGTGACTGCTGGTGGGAGATGGTTCAGTGATTGCTGGGTTTGATCTTTAGCACCCATGTAAAAAACAAAAAGCATAAACAAACAAAGAATCAAATAAAAGACAATACCCACATAGGTGTCAAACGCTTGTAATTTCAGCACTGGGGAAGTGGAGATAGGTGAGGCTCACTGACCACCCTATTTGTCAAGTTCCAGGCCAGAGAGATGCGGTCTCAAAAATCAAGGGAAATGGGAGATGGATCGGGAAGGCGTTAGGGGGAGAAGTGGAGGGTGAATATGATTAAAATGCATTGCATGGCATTCTCAAAGTGTTAATAAAAATATTATATTAACAAGGTAGATGACACCTGAGGAAGTCCTCTGGCCTTCGCATGTACTCCCACACATGAACACATGCACATGTATACATAAGAATGACCCTAGACTTGGGAGTCTGAAGCACAGTTAGGGCTAGAAAGACAAATAGTTTAAAGGGCCTCTTCTTCTTTCACAGAGCTCCTCGCATTGCCAGCTGGTATAATCCAGATCTTAAGTGTTCTGGGGGATTTACTGGTTGCTGGTGGTACATTTAGATGAGCCATGAGCACAACACTGTGGACACACTCTTTTTCTTTTCTTCTTAAATTTATTTATTTATTAAAACCCCCATCTTTTCTCATTCTACATACCAATCATGTTTCCCACTCCCTCCACCTCCCCGCCCCATCCCATGCTCAGTCAGAGTGGGTAACGCTGTTAGGAATATTTTTTAATATTAGCTCCCTGACGACACAAAAATTCCCAATCAAGCCAAATCAAAACGAGCCAAATTAAGAAATATCCAGGTTTAATGGGAGATCTGCGATTTCGGTGACCCTGAGGGGGAAACTGGGAAGCCACAGGAACACGACCCCCAGGAGGAAGAAAGGGAGACCAGGTGTTCTTTTGGGGGAATCACTTAAGTACCCTGGGGAGTGGTCCTGACCCCACTGGCCTGCTGGGATTTGAAGTCCAGACCAGGCCTGGGGGCTGGAATAGATGCAAGGGACTGGGACCTACCTCCCAACCTAACAAAGGCTTCCCAGTGGGGAGTCAAAAAGTCTAGCACTTCCCTTTGAGGCAGGACCAAGACCCTCCCCATTATATCTACGCTGAGCAAAGTATCCCTCCAAAGAGAATGGGTCCCAAAAAGCCAGTACAAGCAGTAAGGATAAATTCTGGTCTCATTGCCAGTGGCCCTACAGTCTGCAACTGTCATACAACTGGAGGACATACTCTTGAATGGGATAGGAATCCTGGCTCTTTTTCTCTGTTTCCTTGCTACCATGAGGTAAACAACGTTGTTCTTCCAAGTGTTCTCTACCATGATACTCTGCCTCACCACAGACTCAGAAACAATAGGCTAACTCATCACAGACTGAAATCTCTCAAATAAAAATGATCTTTTCATCTTTTGAGTTTTTTTTTAAATGCATTTGTTATAGCAATGAAAACCTGACTAAGAGCAGCCTAGCTCATAAAATGGTCACATCCAATTTTCCCAGCAAGTCATACAATTTATCCTTAGGAGAACTTACTACCTATGAGAAAAAAAAGACTTATGGGCAGAAACAGAAGTCCTCATGGCTCTAACCTAACCATAGGGAACCCAGGAGTTGACAAACTTTGCTGACACACACCAAAACTTTTCATAGTTCTTTACCTCTTTTGCTTAGAAATAGCAGTGGCTTACTAGACATCTGTGGACAAAACAAACTTGAACTTGTTAGAAAAAGAATAAAGTACCAGGAACAGAAGCAGCTTCAAATCCTACTACAAAACATCTCCAGAGTTATGAGAAATATGACACATATAGAACAAGAATGGGCGAATATTTTTTAAAGGCACATTTGAAGAACAGTGGTTCTTTGACATTAAAAATTACAGCAATAATAAAATTGAACACAAACACTGAAAGATAAAATTCAGCAAGATTCTTATGGGCTAGAGGGAAAGATAAAGACGAATAGTAAAAATAGGAGAGGAGGAAAAAGAAGCAAGGAAAGATGCTCTAAGAAATTCATCACCTGAATTTCAAGTTCCAGGAAGAGACCACACAAGAATAGACTCAATAGACTGCAAAAAGTACATTTCTTTGGACGGAAGCAAGTTTCCCAACTGTAGAAGCACACTGTTCACTTGGTACAAAAATAGGTGTTTAAAAAGCTAACTCATGTACAGTAGCACTAATGTTACAATAATTCACAGAAAGACAAGGTCAAGATACTTTTCATAGAGAATGAATAACAAAAAGATCAGTGTTCAAACTGCATCGATTTTAAAATGGCAGTAAATGTAGCACAGGTTAATACAGAAATATTGAAGCACACAGTAGCTACACAATAAATATTTGCTGACTAAACTAACACAGTTTTACACAGTATTAAATGATTTCAGAAAAGGGCCAGGAAATAAAATTCTGCATAAGCATAATCTTTATTACTCAATATAGAATACAATAATTAGGAATAAAATGGCTTAAAGATTGTTTCTGAGAAGTAGGATTGTGAATGATTTTTATTCTTTTAAAACTTTAAAAAATTTCACAATGAGAATGTATTTATGCAGTTTTATGTGATCAAAAATAGTAATAAAAACCAAGCAAGTAGCTCACAACCATGACCTGTATGTCTCAGTAGAGGTAGGAGGATCAAGGCCAATCTTGGTCAGATAATGAGTTCAAGACCAGCCTGAGCCAGTTGAGACTGTGCCTCAAAAATACCATAATTATCAACTGTTAAAAAAATATCTTAATTAAGGGAGCCATTTTAGGGTTGGCAAGAACCTTGACTCTAGAGGGATTCCCAGGGGTCCTGAGAAATGTCCCCAACTAGGTCCTTGGGAAGCTGAGGGGAGAGAACCTGAAATGGCCCGATCCTATAGCAATACTGATGAATATCTTGCATATCACCATAGAACCTTCATCTGGCGATGGATGGAGATAGAGACAGAGACCCACACTGGAGCACCGGACTGAGCTCCCAAGGTCCCAATGAGGAGCAGAAGGAGGGAAAATATGAGCAAAGAAGTCAAGACCTCGAGGGGTGCACCCACCCACGGAGACGGTAGGGCTGAGCTCACCAAGGCCAGCTGGACTGGGACTGAAAAAGCATGGGATAAAACTGGACTCTCTGAACATGGCGGACAATGAGGGCTGCTGAGAAGCCAAGGACAATGGCACTGAGTTTTGATCCTACTGCACGTACCTGCTTTGTGGGAACCTAGGCTGTTTGGATGCTCACCTTACTAGACCTGGATGGAGGGGGGAGGATCTTGGACTTTCCACAGGGCAGGGAACTATCACTGCTCTTTGGACTGGAGAGGGAGGGGGAAGGGAGTGGGGCATGGGGAGTGGGGAGAGGGGGAGGGAAAAGGGAGGCGGGGAGGAGGCGGAAATTTTTAATAATAAAAAAAAAAACCAGCGTACTTAAGGACTGAGGAGATGGCTCAGTGAATAAAAGTACTTGCTGAGTGTGAATGAAAAAAAAAGAAAAGAAAAAGAAAACAAGCTAATGATCAAGATAAAAGTAAAAACAATTTTCGGATTATCAAACACATTCTAAATATGTATATCCTTAGTATTTTCAACATCCCCCACCCTCAGGTTTACCTTGGTCCAGAGTCACTACCATTCAGATCGAGATCAAGTTCTTGGGGTTTAGTAAACTCTTTCTCAGCAACCAGTTCTCGAGACTTAAATAGAGCTTGAGTCCTTAACCTGTAAAAATAAATTTAAGAATGTCTAACCCCAAAGCACCTGACAGACTCAACACACACACACACACACACACCCTAAATACACATTAAGTAGGCCCATCACTTTACAAGACTTAGATTTTCCATATAGAAGCATGTGGGAAGACTGAGCTGGTGAGAACATGATTTTAAAACTCAAGACTGTAAATGAGTGTTTTGCCCATTGTGTTAGTTACTTTGCTCTTAGTTACTTTTCCAGTCGCTGTGATAAAATGTTAGACCAAAAAATCTAAGGGAGAAAAAGTTTATTTGGTTCCCAGTTTGATGATGTAGTCCATCACAATGGGGAGGACCTGAAAGTAAGAGGTTGAGGCAGCTGGTCACACTGCATTTGTGGTTAGGAGGCAGGAGATAAATGCTAGACTTCAGCTAGACTTCCCCTTTTCATGTAATCTAGGATCTGAGCTCAAACAACCACATATACCCACAGTTAGAGTGAGGTCTTCCTACCTTAACCAACCTAACCAGGATAGGCCTTTACAGGCAAGCCTGGAGGCTTGTTTTATGTGATTCTCAATCCTGTCAACTTAAAAATCAACATTACTACCACAATTTTCATTACTGTTACAAAATACACAAGTAAATAAATTAATGGGGGAAAGATTTATTGGACTCATGGTTTGTATTTCTGTTTCTATTTCTGTGGGTCTGCGGTGAGGCAGAAGAGCATAGCAGAAGAAAGCTGCTCACCTCTTGTCAGCCTGGAAGCAGAGAGGGACGGGAAATACCCATCAAAGACACACATTGGACAGGCCTGTCTTGTAGATTTTACCAAGTCATAATAATGCCGGAAATTGTGAATTATCAATAGCTTTAACAGAAAAGATCAACTCATTGATGGGTTAATGGATTATTTCATTGGCTCAATTATTTGATTAGACCAGAGCCCTTATGAGCTAATCATATCCCTTAAGCTCCATCTCTGAACACTGGACTTTATGACTGAGCCTACACCATGTGGGCCTTTTGAGGAAACACTTTAAATAGAAGCCATTTAAGTCATCATGGTCTAAATAAAGACTTTTGTAATTCTCAAGTATTATTGATCTGTAAAACATAAACTTAGGAGGTACCCAACTTCTCGTGGTGACACTTCAAAGAGCTGGGAGATCAGTGACAATATATTTTCTTTAGGACACAGACAAAAATAGAACTAGGTGTCCTGGTTAATTTCATTTGTCAACTTGACATAAGCTAGAGTCATTTGTGAAAAGGGAACCTCTACTGAGAATGGCCCCAACTAGATTGGCCTGTGGGCACTTTCTTGATTAATGATTGATATGAAAAGGTTCAGTTCCCTTCAGTGCTGATGGTCCTTGGTGCTGTAAGAAGGCTGAGCAAACCACAGGGAGAAAATGAGTTCCTCCATAGCTTCTGCCTTGGTTCCTTCCTTAATTCTTATCCTGACTTCCCTCAGTGATGGACTATTACCTGGAAATAAACCCTTTCCTCTCCAACTCGCTTTTTTTTCCACAGTGTTTTTATCACAATAGAAAACCTAAGACAGAATGCATGGCATCTACTGAGATTAAGACCATACTCACATGTACTGAGAAGGGAAGGCTGTTGAAAATATCTGTACGAACCCTTTCTAGAATTTAAAGATCAATCACTGATAACAAACATGTGGTGCTTAATATGCATCCCTTCAGCTTTTTGGAAAATGAGTTCTGATTACATGTACAAGTATATTCTTTAACTATGAAAAAAAATCGAGGAGGAGGTAGTGCACACCTTTAGTACCAGCATGTGTTAGGCATAGGCAAGTGTTCGAGGCCAGCCTGATCTACAAGACAAATTCCATGACAGCCATAACTGTTACACAGAGAAATCCTATATTGAAAAAACCAAAGCAACCAAACAAACAGAACAAGAAAACAAACAAAAGCTATTAAATAAAACTATGAAATGTTTTGTAAAAGAACCATGAACATGGTATTTTCACCATCACAAGACATTCTTTCAGTTGTACTATACATGGTGATAAACAAAGAATTTACAGTATTATTATTTTGTAGTGATACGCAAATGAACACAAGTGTCAAATGCTAAAATCAGGTAATTATGAGAAAAGAGTAAGAAAAACTGTAATAATAGCAGTCAGTAGCAATCACTTATGGAATATTACATACATATATTGATCCTCATGAATACCCCAGAGGCAATAACTTTATTATATGTATTTACAGAGGAAAGAGGGGCAGGTCTAGGCACAAAATTTACCCAAGGTGGAACGCTTTTAAGTGGTAAAGGTGGTACAGTTCTCCTAGCTAGTTATACAGTATATACAGTATAAAAGAGAAAGACAAAGACAATATTTATGAATAGCTTTGAGTTTATTCACTACAAATGCATTCTTACTCCCAAAGGAGTTTATGGTGGTTCTGGGCACTGCCATCAATTGTATTCTGGATAAATCTTGAACTAGTTTAGAAAGGACTCACAAAGGAAGGCTTTCTGAAAGCACTGACTATGTATGTAATCTCAAGGTGGCAGAACCAATTATAAATCAGAATTAAGTAAGTGTTAACTGAAGGGACAAAACCAACTCTATTTTGAACTAGGCCCCAAGGTGGCTGTCAGCAGAATGCGAAGTTCTCTAGTCGGGAGTCCAGCTGCTGAAGGTGCTGTCAGCAGAGCGGGAAGTTCCCTAGACTGGAGCCCAGCTGCTCAAGATTGATATCAGCAGAGTGGAAAATCCCCTGGACTGGAGCCAATCAGAGAGTCACCAGTACCCCTTATGCCCAAAACAATAGATTTGTGGGGGTTTTTTCCCCTTATAAACCCTGCCTAGGAAGAGTGGCGTGTGGGATACCTCCTCTGGCTCCCACTGCATTGGTGTGCAAGAAGAGGTCCAAATCACGATTTGCATAATTAAATTGCTTTTGCATTTTGATGAGTCTGTCTCTATTGGTCTTTTTGGGGTCCCAGCGACTTGGGTACTACATTAATGTTTTCCCAAATTCACTTAAATGGGAAAGTCTCATCTCTGAGACTTTAAAGTAGTTCTCTGAACTACTTTAACTACTTTAATTATATGCTACTCATTTAGTATTCAATTATAGATTGTATTTCTATACATTTCCTAAATATCCTAAGCACCATAAATAATGCCATGTACATAGCCAGTATTAATTTATTGCTAATTGAAGTGAGTTACCTGACCACTTAAATTACAAATTCAGTAAAGATATATAATTGTTCATATTATATATAAATTAGTATATGAGACTGCATAACACACTGAAAGAGGCCAGGTTTTAGTCATCTAGGTATACCTTCCACATAGTTTTGGGCAGAAATAACAAAAACTTTGCTAAAACAATGAAAATCGAGCTGAGTTATAGACTACAGTAGATAAAATATATTATGATTCTCCTTTGTATATATCCTAAAACCTAAAGAGCTAGGGACAAAGAAACTAGACCTAAAATTAGGTAAGGCATAGATAATTGGAAAAGGAAAGCAAACATTTAAACCAGAGGAGAAAGCATAGCTTGAGAAAGAGCTATGAGTGGTGTATGGAAAGAGGTGCACTAAGACAAATTTTCAAAAAAAGCATTTCTTGGGAAACTGAGCAAATGGGTAGACAGGTGTTGAAATAGGAGCGGCGACGGGGCTGCGTCCCCAACACCCCGGCCGCTTGGCTAGCTCATGCCCGAAATAACAACACACAAACTGTATTCATTTAAGAACTGCTTGGCCCATGAACTCTAGCCCTTACAGGCCAATTCTCGCACCTGGACTAGCCCATTTCTAATGATGTGTGTAAGCACCCCAAGGTGCGCTTACCGGGAAGATTCTAGCCTATGTCCATCCTGGTGTCTCTGCTCCAGAGCAGAGCTGTCGAGTCTCTGGGAGCAGAGCAGAGTCTGACCTCACTTCCTCTTCCGCCCAGCATCCTATTCTGTTTTCTCCTCCCATCTATGCTTTAATCTATGAGGGCCAGCCAAGCAGTTTCTTTATTGCTCAGCCAATGAAATCAACAGATTGATATGACACTCCCACATCAACTGCAAGTCATAGCAAGTTTTGCAAACTAGAAGGATTGGCAGCATCTAATCTGAAACTAATTTTTTAACCAGGTTTTAAAATACAGAGTGGTAAAATAAAGGCACTGTTAGGAGGGTTCATTTGCCACAGAAATTTTTGGTTTACATCACTATTGGGCAGACTTTCAGATAACTCCTAAGTGATAAAATTGCCTGACTCTAAAATGCAGGACAGAGAGTAGGCCAACTTTCAGTTTAGAAATGAGAATTGTGACAATGACTAAACCCAAGCCCAGCTGACCATGATAGATCGGATGATTTCCATGGCAGAAGAGCAGGAGGAGAGAACCTCCTCTAGTTAAAAGTGTCTGCAGGCAGGTGTGATGAAAACTAATCTTAGCACTTGGGAGGAGGCAGGAGAAAACACATGTTTGGTTAGCTTGGGCCACAGAGGCAGAATCTGTCTCAGAAAGCTTCTATTTCAGTATCTTAAGTTTATCTGGGAACCTCATTAGAAGCTTCTAACTTCTTGACCTGGGGGAATTTTATTTTATGATCAGAGCTACAAACAACACATGAAATGGCAGAATTGTGATGGCCAAGACTCACAGAACCACAAAGACCTTTAAGAGATGCCTAAGGCACCAGAAACCAGCATGATCAGGTCTGAAGATGGACAGTACTGTGACTGGGCACTGTTTCATGATTTGTACATATTTACAAGTCCTGATCAACAAGACTGAAAACACCCTAGTGTAAAACACTGAGGACTTTCAAAGACTGCAATTAGCAACTACACAGAGTAATACTCATCCATGCAAGGGAACTGACTAAATCACATGATAATTTGAGGACAATAATTCTGAATACAGGAAATAAAGTCAGTGAAGAGTTCAGGAATAGAATATAGAAATAAAGGCCCCCATCCAGGAAAATGGAAATATAAAATTGTAAGCCCAAACACATTTTGGAAGAAAAAAATATATAAAGGTGGCAGCTGCTGTTAGCCTTTAGAAAAAACACTTTCTGCCTTAACAGCAGACATCCTGGCATCCACTGTGTACAGAGGAAAACTTTTAACAATTGTCTCCTGCCTCCCAGCTCCCTAGCTAGGCAGGTACTGCAGACAAAGCTTAGCTTCTAACTATTGCCTCTATGGGATCCTCTGCTTGTATTTCCTTAATTTTTAACTGTCCCCTATGTGACTCTACTCTCTGCCTTACATTCTTTCAGGGACAGTGAAAAGCAGCTGTGTCAGCCACAGGCTTTTGCAAACATCATAAGTTAACATCCTATTGTCCTATAACCAAAAGTTGTAAAACTTAAAATGTTGTGACTTTAAGCTTGACCTCAAGGTTGCAAAAGTTCTTTGACCCACACCTGGTGCTTGATTTTACTATAAGAGAAGCTCCAAAACGAATACTCACTGCCAAAATTTCAGAAGCTGATCTCTGGCTGTTGTCACAGCTATAGCTGATAAGCTTTGTGTGCCCCATAGTGTTTTTTTTTCTTCTTTTTCTGTAATAAAGCTTGATTCTGGTTTAATAGACTTTGGTGGTCTATCTCCCCATCACTGCATAAACCTTGGACCCAATAGTTAGGTTAAAAAGAAAATTAGGATAGAGAGAATGAGAGGAAGTGCAAACTATTTCTGTAGAATTTTCCAGAAGACAGAAATTTTTAGAGTTTAAGAAATGAAAGGTGAGAAGCCATCTTTTGAGTTGTTAATCAGGGCTGTCTAAAAGACTCCAAAAACAGAGTCCACTGCTGTTGCCCTTGATTGACCCCTAGAGGCACAAGTTAAGTTCCTAATAGGGCCCAGAGGCCCTTCAGCTGGCGTTGACCTGAATGCCCCTTCCCTGATAAATTTCCAGCAAGCTTCAAAAGCGAAGAGACAACCAACAGTACCGTTCAGTTATGAAGCCTATGAGCCTCCCTGGCTGACTTTAAAGCAAACAATGACAGAAAGGTGGGCAATTAGTAGGCTGGGTCCCAAGGAAGGATGCACTTTTCAATGACTTTGGTTTTGTCTGTACACGTAGAATACTGGTGGCCTAGAAACTTCAAAAGCATGGAAGGGGGTCAGCTATATAGTCAAAGAAGTAGAAAGCTTTTAAACAGTAAACCTACTCTATTGTTCTACTCTAATCAACCCCAGTGGCACATGGGTGGCCTCACTTGCCCTGTTCCTACCAGCAAAGGCTGAGTAGAAGCCAGACTTTCATTTTCTCTGGGCTTTCATGAGGCAGTCAAGCCCTCTGCCTCACCAATGTTAGAGAAGGGATACTACAGAAGAATATCTAAGCAACACCCAGTGACTAAGGCTACAAACTAAATACCCAGAACAAAGCTGAAAACCAGTCATCACATCAAGAATAAAAAAAAATGGTAGAAATACTTAATGATTTTGTGGGTGCCTAGTCTGTTTGGATGCTCACCTTGCTAGTCCTGAATGGGGGGGGGGCGACCTTGGACTTCCCACAGAACGGGGAATCCTGACTGCTCTTTGGACTGGAGAGGGAGGGCAAGGGGGAGGGGGAGGGGGGCAGTGGGAGGGAAATGGGAGGAGGGGAGGAGGTGGAAATTTTTAATTAAATAATAAAGATAAAGAAAGAAATAAAAAAGAAATACTTAATGAGAATAAAGAGAAAGCATTACAAAAATGCCTCAAAGAATACTTCTGAATATCCTTGAAGAAAACTGAAAGACAGAAAATCTATAAAAAGAAACAGAAGACATAAGTAAAAACCAAACAGAAACTGTACTTTGGAAACATGCTCACCTGAGATAAGTAAAAGAATATCATCAGTACAATGGAAAGAAAACAAACCTCACTAGATTAATGTCGATGATCAACTAAGAGGGCAGAGAGGAGAGCCGGACACTCGACCGCAGCACAAGAGAAACAACACAGTGCAAACAGAAGCAGCAGTAGCTCCCAGGATCAGATCCCAGGGACCTTAGCAACAACAACAACAACAATCTAGATTTATGTCTATGAAATCTGAGAGAAGAACATGGGTGGGCTCAAAATGTGCTATCAGAAAATGCTTATCAATTCTGTAAATGCAGCAATCTTTTTTTTTTTTTTGGTTTTTCGAGACAGAGTTTCTCTGTAGCTTTGGAGCCTGTCCTGGAACTAGCTCTTGTAGACCAGGCTGGTCTCGAACTCACAAAGATCCACTTGCCTCTGCCTCCCATGTGCTGGGATTAAAGGCATGCGCCACCACTGCCCGGCTTGCAGCAATCTTTGTAGTGACAAACAGCTCTGTCTTTTTATTGTGGTGGTGATATCAATAAAATGGCAGCAGATAATCATATATACTGTACTGATGATAACTCACCAGTTTAGTTATGTAACATGTAGTCATTGGAGAAGCTCATATGGAATATCTCTGTAATATTTTTAAAATGACTCATGAACCTATAATTGCTTCAAAATAAAGTAACTATGAATATGTGTAAAAATATCATTAAAAATATACACACAAATTTTCCTCAAAAGTCCTATTTCTTCGGTCTTTTTGTAAGCTAGAATTATAAAAAGATGAGTGCATCTAATAAGAATCTATAGATGGAGATGGCAACAAGGCAGGAGACAGAAGCTTTTTCCTTGGAAAATCTGTAATTCATTGGTTTTCAAAGAATATAAATGACACATTTTAGGATTTTAAATAAACACTCTGATTTACTATAGTAAATAAATAATGTTCTTAAATTAAACAATAAACTTTATGAATCTGAGTAAAAAAAACCACACTGAATAGTAGGTAACATCAAAATAGCAATCCAGCTTTTGAAACCATATTCTAAGGAGATAATTATTAAGGGAAGAAAATGGGGGTGAGTATATATCTCAATGGTAGAACACTAGCATAGCATGAACAAGGTCCTGGGATTGAGCCCCAGCTCCAATAAAAATAAATAATAAAAAGGAAGATACAGAGCAAATATGACCAACACATATACACTTGTATAAATGTCCTTACCACATTACCACACGCTATAAAACATTTTCTATGATGGCAGAAAGACATGATGACAACAAATCACACTGCTTTACAACCTGATTGTACACTCTGAAATAATAGGACTTAACTTAGAGATTAACTTTCTATAGTGACAAAGCAGATAGCTTTGAAGTCTGAGAAAAGTCACCACTGAAACTTCAGAGATAGTTCAGTGGGTAAAGAACTTGCTGTACAAGGAAGAGGACTTGAGTTCACATCCCTAGAGAGGCATCATTGTGTATGCTTGTAACCCTAGCACTGGGGGTGGTTAGGCAGGTGGAGCCCAGAATTCAGTGGCTATCCAGCCTAGCAGAAATGGTGAGCTTCTGATTGAGTAGAGACTCTGTCTAAAGGAAGTAAAGTAGAGATGAAGACACCTGAAGTCCTCGTCTGGCCTCCACATGTGTCCTTAAAGGCACAAGCACCATGTACATACTTGTATGCATACAGTCTGTATAAAACAGCAATTTACTTGTAGTCATAGTTGGTGTGCACTCCAACAAGCCAAGATACTGAAGAACTTCTGTGAACTGAGGTTCATAAAAACCAAGTGTTTGAAACTATTCTCCAACCTACATACAGTGCAGAAAGAAGAGGTAGGACTCACCAATTGTAATCTAGTCGGGACTGGTGCAGCTGTTGCTGTTTGAGGAGAAGCTTTGTCTCTTGTTGAGCCAGAAGATGCTGAAGGCGTTCCTTTTCAATTTCTAGTTCCATTTTCTGAAGCATCAACTGTTGCCTTCGGTCTTCTGAGAGTTGCTTTTTTACATCAGCTTCACTGGGTTGCAATGTCACTCTACCATGCATGAGAGATGCCCAGGAAAGCCCACAATGACATGATTCCATATGTGTCTTACAATACTGAGGGGCCATGTTTGCAGGCTGATAGTTCTCATGAACATAGTCTTCACTTTCAGAGCATTTATGACCACAGTACTGACTTAATGGAGTACGTGAAAGGTGTGGATATTCCTTTATCTTCAAGTCTTCTGAAGGTAGGACTTTCTCTATTGGGGCTGCATCTACTTGTTTCCTCCCTAGAGATTCAAAATTACCTGTTCTGGTTTCTGATGACACCCTCTCTAAACCCTCTTTGTGATGATGAAGTGTTACTGGTTTAAACGGATTATTCCTCAGTGCTGCAAGGGATTCGGAAACTGAGTCCTGGTTTGCTGTCTTAGGCCTTGCCTTGCTCTGACAGTAGGTTTGTGGTTTGGCTACACTCAGGTAGGAACCATCCAGGTCCATCAGTGAAGACTGTTGAGCACTTTTCTTGTTGGTTATCTAAAAAGAAACATGGAAAAAACAACTTCTGGTTTTTCTTTTTCAGTGATATATGTTCACTAAAAAAAAACTTGTAGTTCTTTTTCTTAAATATTACAGTATCTACATTGCTAATATTCCACAAAGATATATCAATTTCAAACAACCTTTATTTCAGCAAATCTATAGGAGGAAAAGAAAGATCCAGCATTATTCCATGTTGCTTTTGCATCTTTGGTGGTTTTAGGAGTTGCAAGTACTTAAGGTTACATAAAATCAACTTTAAGATGTCAACACATTAAACATTAATATCTAAAAATGTCTATTTTTGAATATTGAGCCAAGAAATCCATGCAGTAACCTTAAATATTCTTTGATTAGCCATTATACAGAACAAGATTTGGTGTAAAACATTTCACATTATTCTGAATAGCTACTGTTAGATGAATTTTTATAAATATCTTTAGAGAATACAGATAAAACCAATTAATTTCAACATACATAATTCTAATAAAAAGCAATTATTTAAATATTTTTCATTTCAGCTACAAACATAAGTGATTTTTCAATTAAACCATTCAAGTGATTACAGTCTAACAGAACTCAGGCAGAGAGGGAGCAGTTGTAAATTTAAGCTGCCAGGTGAAGAGCAAGATTTCCCAACATTTTAGCTGTAAACCTGTTCTAGTGGGAGAGTGAAACTTCATCTATATCAATTACTCTCAAACTTGAGTGGGCATGAGAACTGAAGGGCTTGTTTCAGCCACAGAGTTTCTGACTCTGTCCAGAGCAGTCAGCTCCCCTGCATCTTTAGGAGGGTTTCAGGTGATGCTGAGCGAGCACTAGTTAAGCTCTTAACATCTTTGATTTACTATAAGTAAGTGGGTTTTCCTCTCAGTGCCTTTTAGAAACATGGTATATCCAATTTCTAGCCTGCCCAGATTAAAATAGTTTAGGTTCAAGCAAATGCTGAGTGTAGCAAAGATAAGCCGCTTGTTTGTAAAGTTGGATACTTGGGATCAACAAAACATTAATAAAATTAATGCAGAAGAATCTTAATAAATGAAATTGATAGGGAAGAGTATAATTCTGAAAATGAATCCAACAAAGTCTAGATTCTTGCAAGGACAGATAATCTTCTATAGACAAAACTTAGATATTAGGTATAACATAAGAGAGTCACCAAGTCCCAATTACTTAAGTACAAAGATGGGTTCTTCAAATGGTATCATTCCTAGCTGTGTAGATTCCTTTTGGGAAGCTAGAGTATAAGTTTTAGCACAAAGGCTGAAAGGCACAGATCATCTACCTCTGGAGAAAACACAGTCGCCAACACAGACTCCAATGAAAGATGAGCCAAGAAAAGGCTAAGCAAATGAGAAAGAGGTTTGAAATATTCTTTATGGCATCCACTCACACCTTCCTCTTCCCTTTGGCTTTCACTTACAAAATCTTTCATTTACATAAACTCCTCTACTTCCTTGCCATTTCCTATCTGGATTCAAGAAAGTCCAGAAATCCATTAATAGTACTAAATAGTACTATTAAACAAACAAGCAAAAGAATCTTAAATCATGTTGTCTAGATTTTATTGTGTCTTGAGCAGCTGCTTTGTTACAAGTTACTCAAGGCTGGCTACAAATACTGAGACAGAATAACTTGGCATCTTGTTCATAAATAATCGTCATCTGTCTTAACATCATAAAGCATAGGCTTATTCATGCTTATTAAAAAATACCACCTTTAAGCTTATTGGACAGACCAAATCAATGAAAGCAACAGCCTCAAATCTGAACATAGGAGAACCACCTGAGCCCACACCATGGCGCACCAACTTGGCACGTGTCGTTGGCCACTGCTTAGAAGATTGCCAGATGACACACTTCCAACTGTGCCTTGACTTGGTTTAGCCTGATCCCTACCGTCACTGACATCACCAACTTCAAAGTTGTCAAGTTCCCTCAGCCGAGCACCTACCTACCTGAAATGGCTCTCTGATTGGTTACCAATGCTGCATTTACTACCTGTTAGCTTCTATATACTCATTTTTAACTTTGGCACTTATATGTAATTGATTGAAGTGTGATGTATCATTCTAGTGCCAGATATTATCAGAATGGAATGGAATATTGCCATAGTTATGACTTCAGAGGAATGTATAAGTACTTGGTGAAGGTGACTCTATTAACACTCAATATATTCTGACATTGTAGAAGGGCACAAAGGTATCCATATGTTAATGACACAGATAGCTAATAACATACCCACTAAAGTATTTTTTTTTTACTTTTCCTGGACAATTATCTGCACACTGAGCTTATTTGCTCAAGGTTGTTGAGAGAAATATCCCTCTCACAATAAACTAATATATCACAATTACTACATTCATTTCTTATTGTCACTATAGTGAATTACTACAAATGTGGCAGTGTACAACAACACAAATGTCTTCTCCAAAGATTGTGGAGGTCAGAAATTAAAAATCTATCTCATGGGGCTCAGATCCAGATTTTGGCAGGTTTCCTTTGGGAAACCCTGAAGACAGAATCTATTTCCCTTTTGTTTCTTTAAAGCATCTAGTGACCATATACATATATTCCTTGGTTTGCCGTCTCTCCTCCATCTTCAAAGTGCATCACTCCAGCTTCAGCTTCCAACACCAGAGTGTCCTGTGCTCTGACTTCTTTCTTACTCCTTTTGGTCTATAGGGGATACCTATCCAGGTAATCCGGGATGATTTCTTCACCTTCAAAGCCTTAGTTTAATCACATATGCAAAGTCCTTTTGTTCATAAAGACCGCTTAACCATATAAGTTGATATTTATGGTTTGCAGGATTTAGGGCATTGGTGTGTGTGTGTGTGTGTGTGTGTGTGTGTGTGTGTGTGTGTGTGGTATGCATATCTTTTTAAATGACCTAATTCATGAACAGTTTAGATAGTTATCTAGACAGAATGAATGAATTCTGAGATCTTTGGCAGCAGAAATAAACATCTCCCCAATTTACAAGAGGTGAAAAATGATGGATATTCAACAACTTCTGACAGAAAGGGCTATGTATATATCTGTGTATGGAACATTTGTGCTTACACATACTATATTCTCAATAAGCATGCTTTGACTGCATGCTTTGTTATTGGAAAATTCAAGTCGAGTTATGGGCTAGCTATGAAAAAAAAATAGAATCCTAGGACTTGATGGGAAAAGAAGAACCACAAAGCCAGCCAGGGCTCTGTAGCAGGTTCCAGCCCAACCTGGCCTCCAGAGACTCCTCAAATCATATGTTACCAAGAGAAAGTGAGAAAAGACACAGAAAACAAACTTCCTAAATACAAACTTTCTAAATATAAAATTCAGCTACTTTATTAGCAGAGTTGAAGATATCTATTGCCTTGGGGACCCATGCAAATAACAATAGACCTGAATGAAACAGATGTGTTTTTCTTTCTAGAGCTGCTCCATCAACAAACACACATAACACTTAACAAAGGCTTAAACTAACAAAAAGTTCTGAATTGTTTCTGTATTACATATTTCAGTGCATGTACATGCATGCACACAGTTGTGCACCAGCACAAAGCTACCATGATGCTCACAGAGAGATCAGAGGACAACTTGTGGGAGTTTGTCCTTTCCTTCAACCACCCAGGTCCTGAGGATCAAACCAAGGTTGTCAGGCTCAGTGCCAGCACCTTACCCTATGGATCATCTCTCTAGCCTGCATAAGGGTTTAATAGGAAATTTTCACATTAACATATAACACAAACTTAGAAATATTATTTTTTAAATAGAGGCAAAATTTCTAGTAAAATGCATAGCTTAAGGGTATGGTTTAATAAAATTTCACAATTGTTTACATGGGTGTAACTATCTTCCTGGTCAAGTTACAGAACATCTCTATCACCCAGAAGCTTCCTTGTATGCTTTCTGGTCAACACCATTGCTCTATGCTCATCAGTTATACCTTTATTGATCTACACGTACAGTAAATGAACATTCATTTTTTCATCGCTACATGGTATTTTGTTGTATTACTAAAGCACAAGTTATTTTTCTCTTGTCAATGGGGGGACAGCCATTCAGAACTTTTATAGAGCTGCTATTGTTCATACATAAGTGTTTTAAAAATATTTTTATTTTTCTGAAATTTAAATATAATTACATCATTTCTTTCTCATTCCTTCCCATTTCTTTCTTCACACACAAACCTGCCTAGCTCATTTAATGTTATCTATATGTATGTGATTTTAGGCTGACCACTTGGCATTGAATAACCATTTAGGGGCTCTTCCCTGAGGAAGAATGTTTTTCCCACTCTCAGCATTTCGTAGTATTTTATCTAGCGCTTGGGGACCCATCTTATTTTTTTTTCCTTCCATGTTAACATGTCTTTTGGTAACATCTTTGTTCAAGATTTGTTTAGAGCCAAGTTGGTGAGATTCCTCTGACATTTCTAGGAGACGGAATCTCACAGAAAACTTCTGTTCTCTGGCTCTTGGAAATAAGTGTTGTATTGTAGATGTATCCATGTGTTTTCTGTGTTTTGATAGGTTGTGGTTTTCTTTTTTTTGTTTTTTGTTTTTTAGAGACATGGTTTCTCTGTGGTTTTGGAGCCTGTCCTGGAACTGGCTCTGTAGACCAGGCTGGTCTCGAACTCACAGAGATCCACCTGCCTCTGCCTCCCGAGTGCTGGGATTAAAGGCGTGTGCCACCATCGCCCGGCTAGGTTGTGGTTTTCTTTAATAGTTTCTGTCTGTAATTTTTTTCTGTAATTGAATAGTAGTCCACAGTATATATTTACCACATGAAGGACACCGGGTTATTCCCATTTCCTGGTTACTGTGAGCGTGTGGTGTATTCCCAAGAAGCAGACTAGCCGGGTCATATGGTAGATTTATTCTCAGCTTTATAAGGGCTCTCCACAGAGAATCCAGATTGACACAGCAGTTTCCTCACGACCCCTTCAGTGTTTGTCTTCAGTCATTTAGCTGATCTTTGCCATTTGGACTGGGGTAAGATGAA